AAACAGAAGTAAATTCAGAAACAGTTAAACATAAAGGTTACTGACATTGAACCTGTATTAAAAGTGATTAACAAGTGTTCAATATAATTCGTCCTAACTTGAGATGTGCTTGTGATTTGTGGTGTTAATTTATTCCTTTCGGAGTTGTGGCCCGTTCAAGGCTCTGAGATAAGAGGTACTCAGCTCTACCAAAACAACAAAACCCCCTCCTTTTAAATTAACCCTGAGATATTTAGCAAGAAGAAAGAAGAACCTAGTACAGGCGACCCAGCGTGTGAGAAAGAAGAAGGAAAAGGTAGGAGGTGGAGAAAAGGGCGGTAAGAGAGAAGTAGCGCCCAAAGTGTGAGCAGCTAGCACCAAGCAAGAAGGAGAAAAGGGCGGTAAGAGTTGGCAAAACGAGAATTGGCAGGGGAAAGAGAAGTACTCGGAGAAAACACGCCCGTGCCAGCTTGTCCATCACAATTCCCACGTGACCTGAATGGGGAAACAACCTAGACCGTTTCATTGAGAGTTCGGTGACTGGCCCCCCTGCTATGTGGCACGGCCAAATAATAATAATAATAATAATAATAATGTATATTGTAAAGCTAAATATCTCACGTTCTTACAGCCAAATATTTCAATAAGTTATTTATTTATTAGCACGAACAGTCAATTGCAAGACAAGATCTTGAAATTAAGTAGACGGTGGTATATACCACTCAGAATTACCGGATTTTCGGACTCTTTCCGTTGTCCGGTATTGTAGAAACTAGAAAACACGACATTTCGGAAGCTGGGTCTGTTTCCGGTCCCCTTTCCGCATGGGAAATAGGTCCTGGCGAAGCCATAATTGTGACGTCTATTTTCCTGTAAATGTGAAGGTTAAATTGCCTCTGGGATTTGCCGCCGTGTAGTTTGGAGAAAGTTCACTTATATTTGGAAGAAGCATACAGCTTCTTCTTCTTGTTTGCTTCTTACTGATTTTTTGGTTGGCTCACTATTCGACAGTGAAGATGGAGGCATTACGTTCTTTCGAAACATCGGTGAATTTATACCGATCTACACGGCGTTAAATCTCAGAAGAAATTACTGTGAAAGGTAACCTCAGCCAGAAGCTCACATCGAGTTTATTTTCATTTGTTTCAGGGTTCAAAATCATACAAACACCTCTATTAACTAAACATAACCTACTGTAATAAACAAGGATACGTTTTAAAATAAATTTGTTACCAAGAAATCAGAGGATTTTTGAAGTTAAAAATGGATAATTTGATAACAATTGAAAACATGAAGGTTTTCTTGGTCTTAACCATATGTGGTTCAGCCATTTTATTGTTATTGGCAAAGATTTGGAAATTCTTTCGTATGTGGCAAAGTGTTTCAAAAATTCCAGGTCCCCCAGGAGTTCCAATTCTTGGAAATATACTGGAATTCGTTCCTGGAGATTTAGCTCAGAATTTTAGAGTAGTGAAGAAGTTCATGAAATGTGGACGCAACGTGAAGGCATGGTTCGGCCCCTTCCCAATAATTCTCATATATGATAAGGATGACATCCAAAAAATTATAGGGACCAAACAGGCAGAAAGCAGAGGACCACTCGCTACCAAGTTACTGAAAGAAGTCTGTCTCAATGGATTATTCTCATCGGAAGGCAATGTATGGAAACGTCACAGGAAAATAGTTCAATCGACTTTTCATAATAATGTATTAAAAAATTTTGTTGATAATTTTTCGAAAAATTCTTTGATTCTGACGGAGAGATTGAAAACAGTGGCGGATGGAGAAAGTTTCGATATATTTCGATATATCGGAGACTGTACTTTCGACGTACTTTTCGAAACAGCATTTGCTTATAATATGGATATTCAGAAGGGATGTAACGTGTCTCTTGCGAAGAATATCTTGAGAATTAATGATATTCTCACCCAGAGATGCACAAACCCTTGGTTACTGAACGATACGATGTTCAGGCTAACTAAAATGAGTAAGGAATTTGCGCAACTGAACAGTATCATGCACGGAACAGTAGCAAAGCTAATAGAAGAAAGATGCAACTCATTCAGAGAGAGCGCTAAAGGGAAACTTGATGTGGATGACGCTGATAATATGACGAAATCTAAACCGGTGCTGCTGGATATTCTGATATCAGACGGCCAGTTATCTGATTACGATATCAGAGGTGAATTATTGACAGCTCTTTTGGCGGGAACTGAAACAACAGCTACCACCTGTTGCTACGTCCTGTGCGCGTTGAGTGAGCACCAGCAGGTACAGGAGAAGGTTCTGGAAGAACAGAGACGCATATTCTGCAAAGACTTTCTGCGCCCCGTCGCAGCTGAAGATGTGTCACGCATGGTTTATCTGGAACAGGTAATCAGTTTTCTTATTCATGCCAATATAAACGTATTAGATATTTCATGTAACCCTAGAAATGCCAAGTGCTGGAAATTTCGAGCTTTACAAAACTGTTATGTCGGACAGTGTGTGACATCTGTTGGCGTTCACCATGAACTACATGGTAAAGAGCTGTTTGGAGGGAATTGTTCTCCATGTTCTTGAAGTCCTTTGGGGAGTTTGTATATGTAATTTACTGATGAAAGGTGAGTAGCTCTGATACACTAAGATGTCGGCTTCCATTTCTGAAGTTGGGAAGCCCACGGTCGCTCAGTTACTCAAGAATTTTCCAAAATTTTACGGAACCCGAAAGTTCATTACCTTTTTCACAAGAGCCCTACACTGAACCTTATCCTCATCCAGATTAATCCACTCCATATCACTCTAAGATCCATCTTAATATTACCTTTCCGCCAACGTCCAGGTAATCCTAGCGGTCAGTTGTGCTGCTACCTAAGAACTTCCCACAATTTTATGGAAACCGAAATTTCGTGATCGAGTTCACAAGAGCCCTCCACCGTGTCTATCCTCATCCAGATCATTCCAATCCATACCATCCCATCCTATCTGTCTAATAACCATTTTAGTATTGTCCACCCAACTACGCCTTGGTCTTCCCGGTGGTCTCTTTCATTCTGGATTTCCCACCAATATACTATTTGCATTTTTCTTCTGTCCCATTCGTGCTACATGCCTATTACATTAACATTAAACTTCTTACAGGTGATAAAGGAGACCATTCGCATCCTTCCTCCAGTTATATTCGTTCACAGGCAGATGGATGAAGACACGTTGTTGCATGACGGATGTGTTCTCCCAGCTGGCGTGTTCACTTTAATATTTACTTACGGAGTACATCGGGACCCTGAGGCGTTTCCAGACCCAGACCGTTTCGACCCGGAACGCTTTTCACCTGAAAACACCTTGGGAAGGCACCCCTACTCCTACATACCGTTCGGAGCAGGTCGCAGGATCTGCGTTGGTTATAAGTATGCTCTGAGCGAAGCGAAAACAATCCTGTCGTCGATCCTGAGACGCTACCGCGTCCTGGAGACGAAGGGGGCAGTCAGTGCTGTGGAAGATAAACTCCAGCTTGGGATAATCACTGTGCCGAAGGAAGGGGTGTATATTAAGCTTCTACCACGAGAAACTGAAATATAAATTACATAATTTACCCCATAAGTGCCAAGCATCGAAAATTTCGACCTTTACAAATACTGCTATATTCGACAATATGTGATGGCTGTTGGTATTTCATATGAAGTACATAGTCAAAGACACACTGTAAGATTTAATCTCCTGCATTCTAAGTTCTTAGGGAATTTTATATATCTCTCAACATAGCAGTACCGAATCTGCGTTTCTGTCCGTGCGATAACTTGCAGTTGCAGGAGAATAAATTTTTTTTTTCCGTTTACAACGAGGTTTACTGTAGAGCAAATGCATGTAAATAGTCATTTGTAAATGTGGTAAGACTCACAGTAGAGGCCCCTCATGTGTGACGCAAGACAAGATCGAGTGTGTGTGGTATTGAAGTGTTCTGAAACTGAAATGTGGAATAAAATTTATATTAATAATAATGTAGATAATTTTAATTGTAATTCTTTTGCTGAATTTTTTAAAGAATGGGATCAAAGAATTACTGAAGGAAAATTAAAAAAAAAATATATATTGGACGGACAGAGGGCGATACACAGGCTTCCGAAGCAGTTGATATGGAAATTGAAATGTAAATTATTATGGTTGAAAGATTAAGTATTTTATATGTGATATTATTGGAAGTCTGTATAGTCGGTTAGTGTGTGTGTATATATATACACAAGTTAGCATATATATACTCGTAGCTGGCCCAGGATAATGCGACAGGGCCCATTTTTTATCCAGCGGTCAAATTGAGCCCCTGCCCAGAATTGCACTCAGAACAACTGTTAATTGAAGTACAAGGGAATATGGACGGTTTGTTGTTACATCGTTTCCATGTAAACCGAATGTACTAAATCTGATCTCAGTGACAATATTACCTGATGATGGCCGCAATAAGCGGCAGTGTGTCAGTCGGTATTACAGTATAGACCATTTCCACAGTATAGGGGTTATCTCTGAACTACTAATTTTGTGCCTATCCTGTTACGCTCTTTTCCCAGAACTTTTCAAGTTCATAACGCACATATTTAGTGAAATAATATTGTGACATATTTGCTCAAAGTAAGAATTGTGCACCAGACAGAGAGCCATTGATAGGGAACAGCTCTCGGAACACGTTGCTTCCCCGGTAACAAGAGAACACGCAATAATGAAAGCGATGTTTTCTGTGAGGTCCGTACCGCGACGATATAACGAGAATCAGCTGCCAGTACGGGAAGTTTTGAGACGGTGGTTAGAAAAGTAGGAGGTAGGTGTGAGATGGTCGCCAGCCTTCGACGACGTAAGCCCGGGAGCAGAGAAATGTCCTGTGTTGGAAGCCGTTACCAAGCAGCATAGTGAAGACCGTGACTGAGAACATTAATTTGTGTGATATTGATATAAAATTTAGTCACGAGTTGTTAAAGAGTCAAATTCGAGTACCAATTCAATCCTCTCCTGTAGTCACACTCAGTCACGTGACAGTATTTTCAAAATGCCCTTCAGGGGTTCTAATATACTCACATGGTTCGGTGGAAGGCTTCTCTGTGTTTACTGTAGCTAAGAACGGGAATTGAAAAATGTTACCAGCTGAATTTTCCGCTAATATGTAATAAAGTAACCAAACCGAATTTATTCTGTCACGTGTAGGAGGTACCCATGACGAAAATAACGGGTTCTAGTTCGGATGATTGGATTTATTGGCACTTCTGTTACAAGTTCTCTTAATCACACTTAATACAGCACTATCGCTGATTTACACAGTTTACAGTTCACCGTTGCACGCGCATTAGGATTATCCGTTTTCACTAGTCGTCTCCTGGCAACGGATTTTAACACATAAACTATAACAGTCTCACTGAATTACACACCCAAAATATTACACAGAAATTCTTCTCTTCACAGCCGCACTCTTGCAACTAACTCTTAACTACACTGCACTACACTCATATAAACTACAACAGGTCTTCATTATATAGGCTCCGCACGGACGACATAGAAAACCAGTCACATGATTCCTAGCCAGCGACTTCGTTGGTGCGCTGAGTATTGCCTAGCAACGAGCAATAACATTCGTCCGCTGAGATACATCTTCTATTGTTGCACGTTGGAACATGTTTACCGAGCCGTTGCCTAGAAACGCTTCGAGCAAGTCCGTTATAATATTAATTGAATTGTCTCTTGAATTCATAATTCAGAATCCAGTAACAGGAGGAAAGTGCAGAGAAATTTACGTGACAAATATTCCCCCATATGCCTCTCCTTTTATTGGCCATGTCTCGGTGAGGGCGCGACGTCAGAGAGATTCAAAAGAAAAGCAAAGAATATTGCATTATGGGACATCACCTGCAGAGCCTTCACATACCTACAAAAGAACCCCCCTTTTTCTTACTTGCCTCTTCTCCCTCCTTTCATAATATTCTCAGCGAGAACCTTGTTTATTTCTTCTTATTCTTCTTTCTCCTCTTGTGCTCCTCTTCTTTCCGTTTATTTTATACACGAAAAGAAAATCCTCTTTCCCCCGCCCCTCCTTTTATTATCCTTATTCTTTTGAACTTAACGAATATATATATATATATATATGTACCTCTGTACTCAAAGATTTGTCTACCACCTTTTCTTTTCAGTTTTCTTTCTCTAACTTTTACAACTGTGATACATACATACACACACACACACACATTGTGCTAGTCTTCTTACATATTACTTCCTTCCCATATCACCATACATCACTTCTCTTTTTGCACATTCCTAATTTTTCTCTACCTGTTTCTGCGATATGATATAATACCTCTTTTCATTTCAGTGATGGACCTCTATCACGTGACATAAAGCACAGGCATTCCCCACGCTTATGAATACACGTTCCTGGGCAGAGTTCGTGCAGCAATTCCCTGTTTCACGTTAAAATTACGTTTTATATTTCGCACTTACGTAGAAATGACACACAGAAATCATCAAACGCATCATAGTGTAATCACCTGAAGCATATGTGACTGCGCTATAATCATTGCAGATCCTATTTCATTATAAATATGATATTAGCGCGCGGTAGCGTAGTTGGTTGAGGCAGTATGCTACAAGATGAAAGGTCGCGGGTTCGATTCGCGATGAGGTTATTGGATTTGTCAGTTGATATAATCTTTCCAGCCGCACTATGGCCTTGTCGACTCAGCCTCTAACGGAAATGAGTACCAGGAATCTTCCTTGGGGAGTAAAGGGCGGCCGGCGCGTAAGGCTGACAACCTCACCGCCATCTGTGAGCCGTTGTCTAGAAAATATGGGAGCCTCGGCGTCTCACAACCTTATGTGCCTCCAAGGCCTGATACAGGGATAGCTAGCTAGCCACCTAATATAACTAAACTCCAGCTGTATTCATATTAGTTCAGTGGTTTGGTTAATCGTTAATTCGTTGAGTGAACTTATTGACGTCAGTTAAAGTTACAGACGTTTCCGTGGAACATTTTGCCTTCTTATTCAAATAAAAGAGATAGAGATAACACGCTGTTCGATAAAGTTGGGAAATTTGAAGGGTACTATCCCCTTGGGATGTGATATCGAGTAGACCGATACCGACGTTTCGGAATAAAATGAGTTAATTTCTATCGACATACGGCGACATACGACACATCCCAGAACATAGCACTGTTCATGATACCTGCTGTTACAACCTTGTCTGCGAAGTTAGTGCCAACTTTAGCGGATAGAGAGTGTCGCGTGGTCAGTGCAACGGATCGCCACGGCCGTTAATCTCGGTTTTCTAGACCGGAGCCGCTATTTCCTTGAAATAGCTCCTCAGGAATATTTTATTATTAATACCTTAAATAGTTTACTTCATTTTGAATTAGCCTATACACACATAACAGATGACTAACGTGCAATTATAATCCTCTGTAATTTCCGTCCGCCCAATTATAGCTTTTGAAATAGGTCACCAGTTACGGAGGGCAGTGAGATCAGAGCTGTAGTCGCCCCACACCATCATTGACTGCTGCGTGTCGTGGATTTGAAACTAATTCCTAAGCTATACAACTAAATCCTGTAATATTGTGTTACTAATTATAGTTGTTATTTCCATGCATTGTGTCAGGTGCGATAATGGCTGCCGATCTCTGATGCTGATGAAATTCAGGTTTAGTCCGCAATGTTGGTAGCTCTGTTAATTCTTGTGTATCCACGCGATGAATTCGAGTAACATATCGGCACGTGATTGAGTGACTATAGACGGGGTTAGGATTGGTAACTACAAATAACTACGACAGTCTCACTGAGTTACACGCTCCAAAGATCACTGTAACTACATCACACAAAGTCTTCTCAGTGTTCCCTAGCCGTTGCTTGGTAGCGGCTTCCAAAGGCGGACGTTCCCTTTCCTCAACTACAAACTTCCCACAACTTCAACTCTCACTCTTCAGTTTCTGTGTGTTCTCTCGTTGTCGGGGAAACGTGTCTACAGAGCTGTTCCCTAGTAATGGCTGTTATACTGTCTCCAGTTTACACAGCTTTTACTCTGCAATTGGTCTACGTGGCACAATACTGTTAAGGGCTCACAACCCAGTCATTACCTCTAATTTTGAAAATAATTTAAAATGCTGCTTTTAAGAACGTAAGGTTATCCAGATCGGTATGTGAACCCCGGAACTGCCGAATGAACTCACAGATCATTAGAGCTAGACAAATGTATTTGTTCGTGTGGTCGTATCGGATGTGACGTATTTTAGTATGGCTGGTGAGTAAAGAAATATTGATAGAGATACCAATTTCCTCCGAAATGTTGTTGCATGTCTATACTAAGACGCACAGCGTCGCCTTCCATCCTCTTCATACGTCTTTTGACGTGAAACGATTGCAAAATCTTACCGTCTTCGACACTTACGAACAGAAGGCAGACACTCACGGGACCTTTACCTTATGCCTCCATTTCGAGCTCTTTGTATAGTCAGACTTATCACCAAGTAAGCGCAAAGTCGTCCCTGTGCTTAGTTAAAAACCATGTCATGATTTCATGTAGTGATTGGAGGTTTAGCTCCACTTATTCTTAACGTCGGCACTTGATAGTGATGTGTGGTCTGGTCGTTCTTCAGTCGATCATGTAAATTAGTTAATGGTGCTCGCCAGCACAGTCACGGGGCTGGGAGTCGTGCTACTCTCTCGTGGGTGGTCAGATTCACTCTCAGAGACCCCGTACCCTCAGAAAGGGAGGCTGGGTGGGCCCCAGGAGCAATCTGGACCCTGTAGAGACGAAAAACAAATGCTTGTGACGGTAAAGGAATCCCGATTTTAGACTACCGAACCTGTAGAAAACTACTATACCGACTGAGCCAGAAAGTGACAAAGGTTTTTTTTACATTACAATCAATTTTATTTGTTTTATCTTCTCCAGTTGCTTTTCACTCCATATTTACTTTCATTCTCATTGTATGTATTATAA